ATGTATGGCTGTATGCAGGCGAAAAAAAAATCTGGGTCTAAAAATAAGCTCAAAGGAGATATTTGAGGATATGCTATTAGGCCTGGATTATGGGGGGATATTTATATGGAGCGTTGGGCGTCGATTTGATTTTGATTATTTAACTAAGATTTGTTATAGAAGCAAAGAGAATGTATAAATCTATTATGAATTTTTGATCTTACTGAATACCTATATTTTTGCTTAGAAATAAATGAGTATGATACATTGGAAACCCATCAACCACTTCTTCCCCACTGCAAAACCAAATGGTGAGTTCCAGGCAACTTTAAATAGTTTTATTGATTAAAATCTGAAAACTATTCCACTGCTAGTTTTCCTCCGTGCAAAATTGTGTGTCTCTCTGCGGTTACTTGTGCAACATTGTTGCTTTTATTGTTATAGCATTCATATATTAAAGTCAGTAGAATACACAATAACAAATGCAACAGCAGCTGGGACCGAGGCTGCCCCGAGCGTTCAGATTTATGTGTGCATACTCATAGCGCCAATAAATATTCAAATTCAAGGTCCTGCTTTAAAGTTGTGGCTTAATTTCAATTGCCAGCCGGTATTAAATAATTAATTTGTGTGCATTGTGTTTATAGGTCTTAGCTGGCCGCTTAATTAGAATTTACCACGACAATACAATAAATATATTCATATTTGTGAAAGCATTTAATCAACATTTCAGAGACGGAACTCGAGGCTTTTTGGTGTCACTTTTGTGCACAGGACAATGCCATGAATGTGTTCGTTATGCATTTAAAATTATTTCCGCCCCCGGGCAGCTCTGCATTTGATTGCCTTGCGGCATGGCAATGCATACAATAATTACAGGGAAAAGGCGGAATTGGAGGGCGAAATGGGCTGAAAGGGAATCTAAAGCCCAACAGCTTGTGGTGAGCAGCAAAAACCGCAAGTCCAACACCTTTACAATCCCACAAGAATGCAACAAGCCCGCAATACAAATCCCCCGAAAAACCACTATCATTCTGGCAAGACAAAAAAATTGTGTGGAGTTCTCTGTGGGTCTGGTTCAGTGGCTACTTCCGTGTCTACCTCTGAGTCGGTAGTCAGAACAGCACTAAATACCTTCTAAAAGTAAATATAAATTGCAGGCCAATGTTGCAGCAAGATAAGCGTTATTCAACAAGAAATACAAAAATATAAGGAAACTGGGGAGCGAAGTTTTTTATACCCTAAAATAATAAACTTGGAAAAAAGCCTTTAATAAAAAAGGTTCTATAAAATGATAATATTTAAAGGACATTTGGGGGAAAAACTTTAAGAAGTAATGTTATTTATAGTCTAAAATATATAATAACAACTTTTTATTAAATTTAAAAATACAAATTAGAAGACTGGTTTTTAAACTTATTATCCTATTAGCCTATGTGATGTTCCCACACTTCAAAAGTACTATAAACACAAGCAGACAACAGTCGAGCAGTGAGTTTTCCTCCTTCAGCGTTGGCCTGTCCTCCATGTCCTGCATGCCCCGAATGTCCTGGATGTCCTGGCCCAGATTACAGCCTCGTCGACGACTCTTCGTTGCGGCCACTTCCGCTCCAAGCAAGCCCTTCGTCCCTGTTTCTGTTTCTGCTACTGTTTCGTTGTGTGTGCACTTTCCATTCCGCTGACTCCCCCTCTGTCTGTGTGTTTGTGTGGGTGGGGGAGTCAAGGAGGAAAACCAAGAAGGAGGCTAGAAGGAAAGGAAGAATGCAGGCGGCCATGCAGCCGGACAAGCGTAACACGACGTTTCCGTGTCCCGGCCCCGAAAGCAGTGGCCAACTTTTTGGGGCCTCATGATGTTTCAACATTGTTGCTACCTGTTTCTGATTTCTCTCATTTTACTGGTTTCTCTTACAGTGCACTGTAAGATTTAAAAAGTTAGAACTCCAAATATTATAATACCCTTTCAGTTCCAGTTTATACATTTTCTTTAATCAAACTGTTCTTACTTATATTCAATTCAATTTAATATTTGTTCAAACAATTCCCCTACCCTGTTCTCTCTGTGTATTTATCCTGATCTCCTCTATTTCTCATCAAGCCATTGCCTTGGCCACAGATGTTGGCTTTCGGTGGAAAAAGGCTGAGCCGCTGAAAACTGGTTGCCAACCTACAAGATTTTGAGTACTTGATGGTTTAAACGTGATTTTCCAGCAAGTCTATTAAACGGTTTTTTCTCCCATATCTCTCCTATTTTTTTGCGAATTTTCCCTATGGCTTTCAGAGGCGCATTCATTGCACGTTTGGCATTTTGGGCAACAATTGTTGAAACATGTTGTCAACTAGTTAGTCGCCACGTTGTTGGCTTGTTGTTATGGCTGTTTTCCTCACTCCCGTTGTTGTTGCCAGTCAGAGGAGAGCGAGTTTATTGAGTTAACTTGTTTTGCCGGGAATCGAGTGTTGCTAAAGTTTTCAAATCGCAGTTATGCAACACATTAAGCTGCAAGCCATAAAAAACTATTCAGATGACAGGCAGTGCGTACATTTATGAGTCGGGAGAAAAACGCTACATAGTTCATAATACAGAAAAAAATATTTGGCCATTGGTAATGGATTCATTTTTTTTTCAGTATAATACTTTTGTTAGTTTATAAAGGTTCCCAAGTCTATGCACCAAAGAAGTCATTTTCCAAGCACTACTCGCAATTAACTGCACTCTCAGAAGTTACACAATATTTTTCACACGAAGGCAGCCGACTGTCAAAGTGGTTCAAAGGAAGCCACGTCAACAAGTTCAATTAGCCAACAGGAGAAACCAGAAATTGCCGCAGTAACTTGCCACGACTATCGAACAAGAAATCAAGAAGTTTTCCAAGGCTCACAAGGGTGAGTGTGTCTGGCAGGGTTTCCCCAGAAGGAAAATGAAAGGAAAATGGGGAGTGTGTGGGCTGCCATCAATTTGAGTCCTATCGCGGCTGTTGAAAGTGTTAAGTTTTAATAAGCATCGCGTTTAGTGCTCCATAAAAGCCAGCCCTCAGGAAGGTCTCAGAGTTTACAGAGAAATCAATTTTGTAGTAATAGGAATTTAGAAATATAAACGATTATTGTTGTATTTTTTTTTCTAAGTAATATTTTTGAAATATTTTTGAATACCGCATTTCCTATAACTTATTACTACACTTAGGTACTTAATTATTGTTATTTCATGACTTTCACTTTAAAAATCAAAAAATAATTGGGTAAATGGGATTTTTAAGCTATAATTAAAAAGGTAACGCTCCCAGGATTAAATTCTCCACACTGAAATCAATCGTTTACATTTTCGGCAGGCAAAAAAAAATTCTTTACTTCGTCTTATTTATCCTCTAACCGGTCCATCCTATACCAGGACTAAGAAATCGATTCTAAGGTGCAGCCTGCATCGTTTAGAATATCGTCGACAGTTTTGTGACAAAAAATAATAATTAATTTTACACAATGCAGCCGGAGCTCAACGATACAGTCTTTTTCGAACCAGTGTTTTTTGAATAACACCGTTCCAATCACTCTTCACTCAGGTGGTTTGATTTATGGGTAAGAGCACAAAGCCAATTGCTCCCTTTTTCAATAAAAGTGTCAATAGGTGCATGGCAGTTTAAATATTTTAGAAACGAACAAAGTCTGTGAGTAGGTTTGTTTAAGCCAGGGGCGGATCCAAAACAAATACATTCTTGCATATTCTTTGAATTAAAACTTCCTCCCCCTTTTCACACGAATCCCTGCATGGATGAAATTTAAAAATTGTATGCCAAAATTGTTGAATTTTCTGTCGGTGTACCAATTTACTCTACACTCCCCATTTCTGTGATTACATGAGTAAGGTTTCGAGTTATTTGACTGGGTAATTAAATTGAGTGGTGCATAATTTTACTTTGCGGCTGCCAACTTTGCTTGTAGTTGGCCAACTGCAATTACCTGTTAGCCCTCAACACAAACACAAAATGCATCCGAATGTATGGCTCTGCAGGGAGCCAAAGCGAATTGCAATGGAAAAGTTAATTTTCATTATGGCCTAAGCAGGTGGAAATTCCCGCTTTCGCTTTTCCTTCATTACCTTTCGCGGGCGCATTTCTCTTTCTCTCGCGGCGAACGTGAAAAATCGTCTTTGCGGTTGGGCTACGTAAAATGCAAAGGGGAAAAAGGGCAGCGGAAAAGTCTCTGGACAATTTGAAATATTCAAGTGGTTTTCGGTTTCCCATTGATTTATGAACTTCGCCCAGGTTAATCGCTTCCTACTTTCGGTATTTTCTGCCCAGTTTGCCTCATTAATCTTGGTTGCTCTGGCCACGTCAATCATTAGGAATTCCCTCTCCAATCCCAATTAGTTCAGCAATTTCATCAGTTTAATTGTGAGCCATATCATTTGATCTGTTTACTCACTCTCCTTGGTGCCACTTTAAATAAGTCTCGCAAATTTGACTGGCTTGCAATCGAACCATAAGCGAATCAATAACGACATAAAGTGGATATCCGACCGCTCCTGGTCGGTAGCTTGGCAAAAATAATTAAGAACCTCATCATCCGCAGCAGAAGGAGCAGCTTCAGGGGCATCCGGCTCCTGAGCTCCGTGAGTGGCTCATAATTAATATTTTTCTTGCCTTATTCCGCTGACTGAGAGCAAAAGTCGCCTGTTGCCTGGACAACGACTTGCCAGCAGATAAAATATTAAATGCGATTTTTCGCTGTGACTGAAGGTAGAAGTAAGGATGCTCTTATGGAGATAATATTATAAACATATAGTTAAATAATATATATTAACAAATCAAAGAAAAAACTATTTTCTTAATAATATTAGTATTATTGTGAAATCTTCTTAGTTAAATGTTGTATGTTGTATGTATCCAAAAAAATGCTGTCAATAAATAAAGTACTCAGTTTAAATCGCTGACCACGGAAGAGAATTAAACTGCCAAGTTTACTTTCATCTACGTGCAATAATAATTCCAGGTGAGCGGCTAAAGGTTTGCTAAAAGGAAGTGCGAAGTTACCTGTGCTGATATGCGTCCCTTCTTCAGTCGCGTGAGATCCGTGTGACTCCAATGGCTGCGACCCCAGGGCATAACATTGCGCAAATCCTCATCAAAACTGCGGACGGTGGGTGGTGGATGGTGGGTGTAGGTGGGGATAATAACACAAATTGGTATTAATTTTAATTGCATTTCTATGTGATGGATGCTCACTTGAAGTCGTTGAGTTTGTTGTGCAGGAACTTGCGAATATTCCAGGGTAAATCGTTATGCCCGTCGATTAAAGGCACTTGATCCAGAAGCTGAACGGCAACGCGTAAGCGTTCCTCGAAGGGCGCACCTGCAAAATGGGTTCGATTACAATCGGAACAAATAATCGAATAATTGTGTTTGGTTTTAAAAAGCTTTTAACCTGGCCACAAAAATAAGAAGTAATAGAAATCGTAAGTAAACCTTAGACTGTACCACAAAAATAATATATATATTTTGGATACTTTGAAGTCAGTAGAGTAGAGGAGTAGTCATTCTTGGTAGTTTCTTTTCGTCCTTTCAGTCTTTCTCTGTACGCAACAGAATCACTTGCTAACTAACTTAAAGGCCCTGCCACTTAGGACACCCTCGTGCAACACTATTGCTCCAAAGATTCACTTCCAGTGCCGGCCCACGTGTCGAATGCGTTATGGTAATTGATTTATTGTCTATGGAGTGTCCATGTCTCAGTCGCTCGGATCTGTGTTGGTGGGTTGGGTATGTCGGGGCGCCCTGTTCGGAATCGATTCGATGCGATACTCACTTGCTGCCACACGTAGCGCCAGTGGCACGGCCACACTGGCAGCGCCAATTATCAGGAGGATGGAGCTCACAGCCAGCCAGTGCTTGGCTGCATCGAATCCTGCAAGTTTCCCAGGACGTCCAGGACGAGTAGATATTGAAGGTATGGTGGCGTCATCAGCATTCATGATGACCGAGGGTTCCACATCGATTGTTGTCGTTGTTATTGGCAGTTCAATGCCAAGTCGTTTGCAGCATCGTTGTCATCATCATCATCGTCATCGTCATTATCATCATCATCGACATGGTGGTTCCATTGTTCATTGTTCGTTGTTGTGTTGCATTTTGTGTGTGTGCAAATTGCCGTGACAGTGGCATTGATTACAGCAGCAACAACAATGGCAGAAAAGCATCAGGAAAATCAGGAAAAAGAAGCATCATTGCAGGAAAGCACAGTGGCATCATCCACATCAGCATCAAGTTGCGGCGGTCGAGGAGGAAGCAAAAAAGAAACGATAATAAGGAAATATGGTTAGTTAAACGTTTAAAATTGAGTTGCTGTGTTGGTTTTCGGTTCCAACAAAAAATGGAAGGGTCAGGGGAAACCATCTTCAAGTTGGTTTTTCGTCCTCTCTCGAGTTCCCAATGAAGTAAATCGAGTTCGTTCGAGCGGAACAACTTGTTGGATATGTGCTGAAATTAGCTGACAAGGAGAATAGTGATTTTGTGATTCAAGAAACGTTCATCTTGCCCGGGGAATCTTTTGTTAGTTTGATTTGGAATTGCATTTTCAAATAATTTTATTTATGGTACCTAAATATTGTTTATGCAATTTAAAAGAGACTATTTTCATTTCATTACACTTGAGTTATTGTAATAATTATATTTCTTTTTTTAATTTTACCTGAATTTACTAATTAAACCCTTAAGTTTAAGAATAAAGACTACAGCTGTTATCTTACTAAAGTAAATTTAGGGTAAAGACTTTACAATTAAATGAGTAACATGAGTAACAGCCAATAAGTGAGCCGCAACCACAAGCTGCTTTCGATTGTAACTCAAACTTCACTGAATTCCCATTGTTACTAATTACTGCAAACATAGAAAGGCCTGCATGATGCCTAAGTATCTCCCACACTCGTCGTTCTTTGAAAATCTGAGTTACATGAAACTAAAGCAAAGCTCTTCAATGGAAATGCAAATCTCATTATACGATTTCACTTATGCCGACTATCAATGGAGGACTGGTAATTTGTAATTGCAAGCCAAATTTCATTATGCAACTAAATCCGATTGATAAGGACGAAGGTACATAGATGTGTTACTGATGCTGGAGCTAAGCAAATAAGCCAAGTGAGGCGAAAAACTAGCTGCTGCTCCTTAGATTTGGGTTCGAATGCTGGTTTTGGACTCAGCCAGCTGAAAGAGCGATGGCTGCAATGTATCCATTTGATTACAGTGGCCGGCACTTGGGCGACTCCAAAGTGAATTACCGATAAGCAAGTGGCAAATGAAAGGCAATGTGCAACCTAACGAGAATCAAGGGATGAGGTGCGATGCTACATGAACTAGAAATGTACTGTACACTGTGCGAACAATGTTGGTTAAAAAAAAATATATTAAAAATAATATTTATTTATTTAAAAAAAAATGTTATAATAAACTAGAACACTTAATTAAATATATTTAAATGATATGTTTACTTAAAATATATCGTCATGAATCGTCAAGAATAAAACTTTTAAATAAATGGAATAAATGGGGAAGTAAATGATATCAAAAAAATGTTAAAATGCCTCTTCGGGTCTGAAGATGTTATTATAGAATCCATACTCCGATGAGAAAACAGGTAAAAGATCATTATTTCCCTAAGTGTAACGAGTCCAGTTGGCAGCGGCCGCGCCAGCGATTTGCATAAATTTAAGGGGACAGGACATCGTCCGCAGTTACGCAGTTTTTGACTGCTAACGAATTGCAGTTGCCAGGAGACATGACGAGGATGGGAATGAGTTGGAGACTGATGATGATGATGATGATGGGATGGCAATGGGGATGTGGAGATGACGATGACAACGTTGCCGCTGCTGATGTTTCTGCTGATGATGATGAGACCAAAGTCACGCGGGCATTGGCAACGTTTAACATTTAGCAGCCATGTTACATGAAGCACAATCAAACGGCTAACGACTAAATGGCAAAGCCCCCAGGGGGCGTGGCACAGCAGCGAACGGGTAGCGGAATATTAAGTGCAATGTCATGTACAACGTCTGGCAGAACTACCAGGCAAATACCGATGCATACGGCTCGAAAGAGACGACGAAACGTCATAAAATTCCGTCTTAAATGGGTATTTCAAATTGACCAGCCCTAAACTCCATTGGGCAATTTGGTATTAAACGGGATTTGAAATTTTTGAGTAGGCTTGCGCTTAGAAGTGCTGTAAAATACGTTAAAGTTTGCGTCGTTTTTGCACCTGCCATTGAATGAACTTTTTATAATTAATGCAAAGATAAAAAACGAAAATAGAATAATATTTAAATTGGAAACAATCAAAATAAATTTATATTTTGGATTAATCCGAAAAGATTCCAAATACCTTAGATATTTTGTAAATATTTTAAATATTTTGGAAGTTATAAAATTAACGATAGTAATATATAATGTTTTTTTTATTTATTTTAGGTATTTCTGCTAAGGTATCTCTGCTGGTTTTTTTTTTAATCCGCTTTAAATTTCTAAAAAAAAACCAGCAGTAAAGTAATCGGACTTGCAGCTCTTGTCAACCTTTTGTGGAAATGTCCCTAAAAATATAACGGTACCTTTCGTCCGCCCGCACAATAATCCCTCTAAAAACAGTTCCCCCGACAACCCATTCCGAATTCCCCTGTACTTACGGAACGAATTGGTGCCGGAGCTGGAGGATCCCCTGCTGGGACACTGGCGGTGCTTCCATGGCATGATGCTCGTGACGCTCGAGTGGAGCTGGTGGTGTTTCTGTGGCGTAACCGAACCCGATCCACCCGGCCCCGCTCCGCCCATCGCTGCACCGCCCACATGGGCGTGATAATGATGCGGATGCGTATGCGGATGGGAGTGCGGATGCGAGTGCGGATGGTGGAGCGATGTCTGCGACTCGCGTTCTTTGAGGCCATGTCCGATATCGCTGTCGAAGGAGGTGAGCGTGAATGTGGACGAGGCGGCCAGGCCCAAGCCGCCGTTTGCCATTGCACCACCACCTGAAACTGCGTTTCCCGGCATTTTCTGATACGGCACACAACCGCCGTTACCGCCACCGGACCCATCCATGTTCACCAAATTGCCAAAGCTGCGACTATTAATTGGCAGCGTCCAGTCCATGCTGCTGGTGTGAAAGATGGCCGGTTGCTGGGGGGCCTTCTGATGTTGCTGTGGGGTGTGGTGTTGCTGTGGGTTCGAATGTTGCTGCTGCTGTTGCTGCTTCGGCTGGGGGAAGCTCAGCAGTGATTGCGAGAAGCAGCGACATCGCTGCTGCTGGAAGTGCGCCATTTGTTGCTGGTGGTGCTGCTTCTGCAGGTATCGACTGTAGTGGGCCAAATGCCTTGCATAATCGCTGCTCGGCCCAATGGTATTGTATTTCGAGGATGCATTACCATTGCCGCCGCCGCCTGGCACGAAGCACAGGCTGGGGTCCGATTTCTTCGAGTGCGGCGAGAATATCTCGTCCTCCTCGTGGGCGGCAAAGGGGGGCGGGGGCGGGTGGGTAGCAGTGGGCGTGACATTGTTTGGCAGCTTGTGCCTATGATTGTGGGCGTGCCCAGGCGGTTGGCAAAGGTCTGGCTTCACCTGATTGTTGTTATTGTGACTAATGTTGCTCGCGTTGTTGCAATTGCTGTTGCTGTTGTTGCTGCTGCTGTGATTGCTGGTTATGGTGCACTTGAGCAATGTGGCAGTGCACTCATCCAGTGCGGACTTCGTGCAATCCTGCAGCAGATCGCTGCTGCACAGCTGCGACAAGTTGTTGTTGTTGCCATTGTGCTGCTGCTGCTGCTGCTGCAGATGTTGCAACAATCGCAGGCTGCGCATGCTGCCGTTGCGCTTCATCGATGGCGGCGGCGGCACGGGCGGTATGACATCCACATCCGACAAGCTGGGCGTGTCGCTCTGGGAGGAGAAAGAGGCAAAAGGAAGTGAGTATCAAGCTGTTGACAAAGGGGAAATCGCATTAAATCAATATGGACATGAGCAGCTTCCGGCGGAAGTAACCCCACAGCGTGCCTTCAAAAAGGATTGAACTGGGAATAACTTTTCTGTGGACCTATCAAAACTAGTCGATGCTCTTGCAAATGGATATTTAATGACCTATTTAAAAATAATAAATAGGATTAAGCATAAACATATTTTATTTTGATAAGTTAAGATATTAAAAATTAAATTTTAAATATTATTCAACTTTTGTTGAGATGACAAGGCTTTTATCCTGTATAATAACTATCAAAACTAGTCGAAGGTCTTGCAAATGGAAATCCGAATGGATTATAAAGAATAAGATTTTTATAAAAATATTTTATTCAAGATATTTATCGTTTTTATCGAGATGACAATGCTTTTATCCTGTAAACTAGTTGATGCTCTTGCAAATGGAAATAAAAAATACAATTTTGGATAAAAATATTTTATTTTGAAAATTTAATATATTTAAAAATTAAATTTTAAATATAACTTTATTTTTATTGAGATGACAGGGCTTTTATCCAGAATACTGCCAACACTACTAAAGCATTAAAGTTCTCGCTGCGAGAGCATATAAAAACTGCCTTTCGATACCGTAAAAACTTTCGTTTCGCCCGTAACGGGCCCTGAAAAATATGCAACGCACTCCTTTTGACGTTACTTGGCGAAAATTTGCCAGAAGGAGCCAGAGATTTACAAAGATGGTGGCGAGGTGGGGCGGTCTGAAGACGTTCCTTTGACCCCCTGGCTACATAAAATTTAATTATGCCATAGACACCGGTTCAGACTGAAAGACTCCCACACACACATACAGGCAGAGAGCCATAAAGGCGTGCGAAAAAGGGCAAGCAAAAAGGTTTATCCCCCGAAAACTCCCAAAGTTTCCCCAAGTCGAGGCCATGCCAAGTGCCCTAATTGAATTTGCTACGGTCAGCATCAGCATTATCACCAGCACCATCATCATCATCATCATCATCATCATCGTCATAATCATCGACAGGAGATGCTTAGGGACTTGAAATTGAATTTCAGTTACGGGAAATACATTTGCATTGATTTGCTTCCCCATCTTTTTTGCCTTCTCTTTTTTTTTGGTAGAATTATTTTTATGCGTCTGGGCGAAACGAAACGCATTGCCATTAATAAAAATTTCCTTTGAATTTTGATTGCTTTGTGCCCGCTCCCCAGGAATTCTTTTCACCTCGGCCCTCGTTATTGTTGTCTGTGTTGTCTTTTTGTTGATTATTTTTTATTTACTTTGTCTTGTCCTTTTCAATGGCGGTGTCGTGTTCTGTCGCATCCTGTCCGCTGCTTAAGTGGAAATTGAAATATTCATATTTTCATTTGGTAATTTATTTATTCTTTTGACCCTCCGCCCGACGACAGCTCAAATAATTTATGCAAATATTTAGCGGTGGCGTGTGCTGCATATTTTAAGACTGGCCAATTTGTGAACGGTCGTCTTGCTACGTACCATCTTGTAATTTTTTTGGGTTTAAAATATTTTTGTGTAAGGCCTAGTACTCACTTTAATCGAAAAGCCTACGAAATGAAAATCTCCATACAACATTTTGAACACGAAATTTTCCGCCTGTCATTTTTGTATAGAAATTTTCGTTTCGTTGGCTTTTTGATTGAAGTAAGTACTAGGCCTAAGGAGTAATTGTTTTTGCCAGTTGACTTAAATCAAATTTTAAATAAGAACCAATATTATTAATAGTTAAAAAAGTAATTTTAAAATTGTTTCTTAAGATCATAGTAAAAACGTTGGTACTCTGTCCTAAAACAGTGGCAGGGCTCACTATATATATCTCTTGCAACTCTTTTTCTCCATTCATTTATTTTTCGAAAGCCCTCATACTTTTTCCCTTGAGCTTTTCACTCGAAACTTGCAGCTGTTGAGATAGCAAATCACTCTCTAATTAAACGCGAGCTCTTTGCTTTCCCTTTTTACTTGCCATGTTAAACCCCTAGCCCACACACATATTTATTAAGCGAATAAATTCGCAAAAATGTGCGCAACAGTATATAGTAGGTTATTCGGCGTTTATGCCGCAAATTTGACGCCGAGTTTATGGTTTTGGAGAGGGGAAAAAGGAAAGGGTTTGAAGACTTGTGGTGAACCGCATCTCGTTGCGTTTTTAAGCATTAAATTGCTTGATATATCGCCTTAGTTTTTCCTCGCGACTTTTTTCCCGGCTTATTCCCAGCCACTTTTTTGCATGGACATTTTTCTGGGATCCCCTTTCGCGCTTCTCATCTTCGTGCTCTTTTGGATTATGCTTTGCGTCTTTGTCTCGTTTTAAATTTCATAATGCACATTTTATAATAATTTTTCGTCTACTTTGCTGCAATTTTGTGCAATTTTTTACTATAATTTATGTAGCTATCAGTGTGTGTGTATATGTGTATGAGCACCCTTCTCTCAACTTTCTTGCTACAGTTACAACAATTTTGCCATGGAAAAATGGCCAAGGCATGGGGGTTGTGTGTCGGGCGTAATGTTGAGTTATGGCAGTTTTGTAGTTTGCGAAAAACTTTTTTACGAACGTCTCTCTGTCTCACTTTTTCCCTCTGTTCGAGTATTTAGTTAAATGTTCGTAAAATTGAGTGTTGGTTATATTTTACTCGAACTTTGGCTGTCCCCGTTCTGCGACCGCCCCTCCCCGAAAATACAATCGCCTTTAATCGATTTGGCAAAAGCAATAAGCAAAAAACTTTTATAAATACTCAAGTTTGTTTTAGTTTTTCCTGAAGTCCAAGAACTCTCCCTGCCAATTTGTAATTATCCATCAGAGCTTTTAACTTTACGACTTTATCAAGGGCCATTTCGGCTTTTGTTTTGGCTTTAAAAGCCAGCTGGCCAAAAAAAAAAAACGGGCCACTTATTAGAGCTGTAAACGTGGCAAGTTTGGCCATAAAAACTGCGTGTGAGAAGTGTGGTCTTAGTGCTTCATATATATTGCTTCTGTGCAGGCTTTATTAGACAGATATTAATTTGTTTGTGCTTTTGGTATTTATTAAAGTTCGATGGTGCATATACTTCATATTGGCTTGTCATATGTAAATAGTAAAAATATTTCATAATAATTTTGTTTCCAATTTTTTTAAAACTTTTTTTTAGTAATTAACCTTTTAAAACGCTCTGGGAATGTTAAATAAAATGTTTTCGGATAATATTTATTTGTTGGCTGGACCCCGCAATATAGCATAAATTTTGGTCCGGTTCAGTCAGTTCCAGTCGGTCATCCATAGATCAATCTACCCATCAATCGTTCCGACCATTCCTTCAACTAGAAGTTGATAAATTTAAAGCCCAAGAGCGACTAGCAACTAAATGGATCTAAATGTAACGCATAGCGTAAATAAAAACCCAAAAACGATGCTACTAAATTATGTTTGCCGTTTGAACAACGGAGCGGAGACACAGAGTTGAAGGGTGAATAAGGGACAGCACAGAAATGCAGGGAGATGGATAATGGGAAAGCTCTTCCGGCAGTTGGGAAAGCGCCCACGCATGCCACCAAATTGCAGCCACAATTTGCTGCAACAAACTCAACTGTAAACTGAAAACTGAAAGCCGAAAGTGGAGCAGGCCCATGGAAAGGCATACATCAAATGTGTCAAAGAGATTTGTTATGCATGACAGGGGCCTGTGCCAGAAAACTCGCAAAAAATGGCATGCCAAACCGTGGATATTTAAAAAGGAGAGGCACTTTGCGATACCCATTTATCATGGTTTAAATAATTAAAAAACATTTTTTTTGGGAATAAAGAAATATTTTTGGTTTCTCCTAAATGTTTAAGCATCGATTTTTCAATTAAACAAAAGTTTTATATTTTAAAAATATTAATTTTATTTTCTAGTTAACGACTCAAATTGACCATGTGGAATTGTCAGCCAGCTTTGTTTCATGTCGAATTTTTGCAATTATTTTAGTTTTATTTTTCGTCATACATTTTTAAATGTCTGGGAGTGCAAACTTTAACTTAAGCATGCGGACGAGAAAACAACTAGCAAGCTTAGAAGAATAAACTATCTTATTTAATATAAGAACAAAAATTTCGTACAGTCATACACACGTTATTAAAAATGATTCATATTTATCGACTTCTTATTCATAGTCGTTGTACTCTTATAAAATGCTCTTTCTCAAATTCCACCGAAGAAATATGCAAAAATACAGTTTAACACAAAAAGTAAGGCACATGCCACCGAGTTTCGCATAGTAGACACACCAATGTGTAATTAATGGGAAAAAACAGGTGGCATCCTGGCGAGAAGGCCATTTGGTGCCTCCAAGAACGTAAGAACCCAAAATGCATTTGCAGTGCGTTGCTTTATTAAACCGAAGCATATCCAAACTTCTTCAAGATACTCTACTAAGTGTGCGGGTCAGTATGATGTTAGAAGTGCGTTTGTGTCTGCCTGAAATGAGTAAATCTATATGGGATAAAAACAACGTCGTTTCCCTGTTTTTAGGGTTCAATTTAAACGAAAAGCGATTATATCAAATTGGTTTTCTTGATGAGATTGAGAAACTCCTCCTTGCTAACCTCGCCATCTCCATTTATGTCGGCCTCGTCGATCATCTCCTGCAGTTCCTCGTCGGTAAGTTGTTCGCCCAGCTCTTTGGCCACGCGTTTTAGGTTGGCAAAGGAGATACTACCAGTGCGATCGTCATCGAAAAAGGAGAAGGCCTTCATCATATCCTGATTGGAGTCCTTTTCGGCCATTTTCTGACGCATCAGATATAGGAAATCGTTAAAGGCAATCCTTCCCGTCTTGTCCTTATCGATTTCATCCATCATGCGCTTGATCTCCTCCTTTTTCGGCTCGAATCCCAAGGCGCGAATGGCCACGCGTAGCTCCTTGGTCTCGATAAAGCCCGTGCACTGGGTATCGAACAAATCGAAGGCCTTCTTAATGTCCACCTTCTGACTCAGCGAAAGGTCAAAGGTCGGCAGCCTCGCCCTTTTCGATTTTTTGACCTTGCTGGAGATCGATGCCGTCGATTGCATCACACTAGCGGAGGACGCCATGCTGCCCAGTCGTTTGCTGGCCATTATGATTATATCGGAAATTCGATTTAAACTGAATATCGGGAGGAATATCGATTGACTGAGATCAACGCTCTGTGAGTGTGAACGTATACTGTTTATAAATCGGGCGGGCTGTTCAAACTGGCCGACAGTTAAGGGCTGGAACTACTCGATTACGATAGTTTTTCGACTAGCTTTTGGAGAGCAACAAAGAAACTTGCATAGCCCAACATAAATTTAACAAAATGCTTACCCTACTACTACCTCCTTAAATTAAATTTATAACTATAAATTATAATATAATTATAATTTTTATACCCTTGCAGAGGGTATTATGATTTCAGTCAGAAGTTTGCAACGCAGTGAAGGAGACGTTTCCGACCCCATAAAGTATATATATTCTTGATCAGCATCACTAGACGAGTCGATCTAGCCATGTCCGTCTGTCCGTCTGTCCGTCTGACCGTCTGTCCGTCTGTCTGTTTCTACGCAAACTAGTCTCTCAGTTTTTGAGCTATCGGGATGAAACTTTCCCAAAAGTCTTCTTTCTATTGCAGGTAGTATATATGTCGGAGCCGACCGGATCGGACAACTATATCTTATAGCTCCCATAGGAACAATCGGAAAAAAAAAAAACTTTAAAAAATTCTAACTTCGGTGTTTTTTGAAATATTACCTTCTACTTTTGGGGATGTTATTTTTTAAATATTTCTGAATTTCGAATTAATTATTTAAAAAATCGGACTACTATATCATATAGCTGCCATAGGAACGATCGGAAAATTAATGGAAAAGTAATAGGAAATAAATTCTAGCTTCTTTGGTTTTTATTGTATTATCTTCTACTCTAGGATATGACTCTTTTTAAATAATTCCGAATTTCCATTTTAATTTGATCAAAATCGGACGACTATATCATATAGCTGTCATAGGAACCATCGGAAAATTAATGATAAATATTAGAAAATTGAACATTTTTTCGATTTGTTAATTAATAGGAATGATCTGCAAGGGTATATAAGCTTCGGCTGGCCGAAGCTAGCTTCCTTTCTTGTTTAAAGTGACATCTGGGAGCATTTCGCTTCTTAAAGTAATCTCAGAAATCCACTTTGCAACCAGCTATATATTTTATCGATTCGGAGTACTTCCTTGCAGCATTTGCCACAACAATCAAAATTCATATGTTATGTGCCGTAATGCTCGGTGAACTTCAACTCCTGCACTCCCCTTGGAATTAGGAAACAGCTTGGAGGCCACCCGAACCCCTGGAGTCAGTGGGTGTGGCAGGTGTCAGTCAGTTGATGCTTAGACTACAACATCCACCTTCTACGTGCCGCGCTCTGTTTGCTTATCGCATTTGCCTGTTGCAGGGGCCCCAAACTTGGGTCGAATTTCAGGTGGAGCTACGTGCCGCTGGCTGCTCATGATTACAATTACAATTACACAAAGTGGAGCGGGATTTCACTCACCTGGGGGTCTCCGACAGCTCCTGCCGCACCACCTGCTCCACCGCTCGATCCCATTCCCATTTGCAATCCCAGTCCGATTCCCAATCCCGTTTCCATCCCAGTCAGCGATAATTTACGATTACGCTCGCGCTCCAGTCTCATGAGTATCTGCGCGTTCTGCTCGCAGGAGTAGGTGTGCGTCTTGCGCTTTCGTTCCAGACTGTACTCGTACAGCGGCCTGGCCGCATTCGGTTGCAAATCCAGCTGGGCCTCATCGCCGGCATCGCAGCTGCACAGGGACTGATTGGAGCGGCCCTTGCTCCGCTTCAGGGATCCGCGGTTCGACGAGGAGGGCGTGAGCCGCTGCTCACTCACAAAATTCGAGAAGGTCACCACATTGCCGGCAGAACCTTGAAGGAAGTTAGAATATTTTAAGTTTATTTATTTTCTATTAAATTATTAAAAATTAAGTTATGTTAAGTACTTCATGGTAACGATTCCAATATTATTTATATAATAATTGTAATTACATAGCGTTTGATATTACGATAATATTCAGGAACCCTCTTTAGTAAGTTCTTAATTAATAAATATGAACTTCACAAATTTACTATTTATACCCGTTACTCGTAGAGTAAAAGGGTATATTAGATTCGTGCAAAAGTATGTAACAGGCAGAAGGAAGCGTTTCCGACCCTATAAACTATATATATTCTTGATCAGGATCACTAGCCGAGTCGATCTAGCCATGTCCGTCTGTCCGTCTGTCTGTCCGTCTGTCTGTCTGTATGAACGCTGAGATCTCGGAAACTATAAAAGCTAGAAGATTGACATTTTGCATGCAGGTTCTAGGAGTTCCTACGCAGCGCAAGTTTGTTTCAAAAGGGTGCCACGCCCCCTCTAACGCCCACAATCGCTTATATACGATTTTAAAAATTTCAATATTTCGGAAAAGTAAAAATGCAGTTTTATTGTGTTTATGAATACCTATCAAAATGTAGAAGAAATTTTTTAAATCGGACCATTCGTTAAAAAGTTACGGCGGATCAAAGTTTTTATCTCCACCTCCTTCGCACTCCCTTTAGCGGAGTAACGGGTATCTGATAGTCGGGGCACCCGACTATAGCGTTCTCTCTTGTTTTAATTTATTTTTTCTAAAACGTAATTTCTTTGTTGAACCTCAAAAAGATATTTTTTTTTATTTATTGCATGTTAACCTACATCCTTTTTTTGTTGGTAGCACTGTTTATAGACAGCCTTATCACAAATAAAGTTAAATATCAAAAATAACGTAAAAAATGAGAAAACTACTCTTTTATGTCTTTCATTTTCTACATTGAACTTCTATAAGAAACCTAAGTATATTTATATTTAATTAACACTTCTTGGTAAAGCGCACAAAACAGGAAAGGTCTAATTACAGCATCCTTGGCAGACAGAATATTCCGAAGAATACAAAAATACCTCTTCAATGCCAATCAAAGCGTTGGCTCATCAAAGAAATAGTATACTTTTGAAAGCTGGCTCCTCAACAAAGCCATTATTTAACAAATTTGAACGGCTAACAAGAAAGGAAGCTAGCTTCGGCCAGCCGAAGCTTATATACCCTTGCAGATCATTCCTATTAATTAACAAATCGAAAAAATGTTCAATTTTCTAATATTTATCATTAATTTTCCGATGGTTCCTATGACAGCTATATGATATAGTCGTCCGATTTTGATCAAATTAAAATTGAAATTCGGAATTATTTAAAAAGAGTCATATCCTAGAGTAGAAGATAATACAATAAAAACCAAAGAAGCTAGAATTTATTTCCTATTACTTTTCCATTAATTTTCCGATCGTTCCTATGGCAGCTATATGATATAGTCGTCCGATTTTGATTAAATTAAAATTGAAATTCGGAAATATTTAAAAAGAGTCATATCCTAGAGTAGAAGATAATACAATAAAAACCAAAGAAGCTAGAATTTATTTCCTATTACTTTTCCATTAATTTTCCGATCGTTCCTATGGCAGCTATATGATATAGTCGTCCGATTTCGATAAAATTAAAATTGAAATTCGGAAATATTTAAAAAGAGTCATATTCTAGAGTAGAAGATAATACAACAAAAACCAAAGAAGCTAGAATTTATTTCCTATTACTTTTCCATTAATTTTCCGATCGTTCCTATGGCAGCTATATGATATAGTAGTCCGATTTTTTAAATAATTAATTCGAAATTCAGAAATATTTAAAAAATAACATCCCCAAAAGTAGAAGGTAATATTTCAAAAAACACCGAAGTTAGAATTTTTTAAAGTTTTTTTTTTCCGATTGTTCCTATGGGAGCTATAAGATATAGTTGTCCGATCCGGTCGGCTCCGACATATATACTACCTGCAATAGAAAGAAGACTTTTGGGAAAGTTTCATCCCGATAGCTCAAAAACTGAGAGACTAGTTTGCGTAGAAACAGACAGACGGACAGACTGACAGACGGACAGACGGTCAGACGGACAGACGGACAGACGGACAGACGGACATGGCTAGATCGACTCGTCTAGTGATGCTGATCAAGAATATATATACTTTATGGGGTCGGAAACGTCTCCTTCACTGCGTTGCAAACTTCTGACTGAAATCATAATACCCTCTGCAAGGGTATAAAAATATAATATTACTAATTATCGCGTTGATTGACATTGATGAGTCGGTACTGACTACCACTTCAGTTAAAACCCACCTGTGGTGGCTCCTTTTCGCTTGGATGGCGAGACGTAGAAGATGTCGTGCTCGTCGAACTCCACGCTCCGCTGAGTGGTAATGGCAGCACCGCCATTTAAGACACCTCCACTGCCGGCAGCACCACCGAGTGCCGTGGTTGCCGTGGCCGTGCTGCTGCTGGTGGTGCTGGCCGCACTGTTGCCACCGCTGCTCAGGTTGCAGCCGTGATCCGCCAGGGCGTGCAGCATGGGATGCACCTGTCGATCTCTCAGGGAGTGCTGCTTGTGCAGGCCATTAGCTCGTCTTAGCTCCGTCATCGTCCTGATTTCACTCTGCTCTGCTTTTATTCCCGGAGCCGGCTTATTGTCATCGCCCTGCTCATGAAATATTCATGCCACACTCCGCCGCGACTGGGGCATTAGCATATCACTTTGATTTCGAACTGGCTTGCTATTGCTATACTTTTAATTTTAAATTTGGCCTCTTGCTGGCTAAGCCGGCTAACGATTTCCTTGTGTCAATACAGCTGATTCGCAATCCGATTTGCCAGCTAACTGTTTCAATTCTGGCCCGCGCCCCCTGTCGTCTTGGCCCTCTCATTGCCAGCTTTCCGGAATATCTTTTTTTCTTTTATACTGTTCACATTCTTGTGCTTTCTCCGGTTCTTTTTTGAGATACAGCTTCCTTTGGCGGCCCGGCTTTGTTTGCCCTGTTAATAGACTTGGCTTAGTCGCCGCCGGTTGTTTGTCTATAATAACTGCAAAGAGACAGCCAAAGAGTGAGAGATGAGATTAGGCTTAGGCGATATGTGTGCTGAAAAGTCTATTCTAAATTGATTTCATTGTTTGCCAGAGTATCAGCTCGAGTGTGTGCTTGTAAATATGTACAAATAATTTATGGAGGGAGTTATTTACTTATTTACCAAGGAATTTTCCCAAGCCAGCCGAGGAAAGAATACACTTTTGGGCATCAATCAAGTTTGGTTTTCATAATGATATGACTAAATGCAGCTCAAGGCTACACATTTCATTAAATTTAATTGTGTTTTTTATTTTATTCGATTGGGTGATTTTTTCTTAATGTATTTTGACTTATTATATTATGCAATTAATAATTTTTGAAATATTTTTTAAGTTTTTATTATTACTTTTCCATTCATTAATTTTAAATGCACCTGTAGACCTACCAATTAGCTGACCATTGGTGTATTGATTTTTTAGGCGCGTGTTGGGAAAAGTTCTTTTACTTCTGATCTCTCATTCGATTGAAGTTTTTTTCAGCGCCCTTCGAGTAATTTAAGGCCAAATTGGGGCGCCTTATGCTAGGCAACGACGTTTTCCCCCGCCACTTTCTAATATTTTGATGTCAAACTTTTCGCATAATCGATGGCAACTTTTTAATAAGCAAAAGCCGGCGAAACGAAAACAAAAGCCAAAACAAATATAATAATCAAGCAAACAGGCGGGAAAGGCAAAAGGAATTTGTTCGAGGGGCACAAAAATAATGGAATGGCATGACAGCTAAGCTCCACAGAAAGTATGCAACGTAATAATAACGTTAAAAGATAATGAGAACAGGCTGAACAGCAACAACAAGTGGCTTCGGTGCGGAAATTTCCCCGATATATATATTTATCTATATATATTGGGAAGACCGAGAAGGGGGCATAAATGTGAAGAGAAACAAATAGGCAACTTGAGCTAACTTTCAAGAGTCACAAGAGCCGCCTTCCGTGTGGGTATGTATATGTGTGTATTTGCGATATTTATCGCTTCTTAAGTATTTTTAAGAAGTTTGCCATCGCCAAGTTTTGTCGACAGGCAGCAGCAACAACCGAACAAGCAACAACCAAACACCCAACACCCAACACCAGCAAACATTTTTATCATGGGCATATTTCGAGAGGCACTTCACTTGTCACAAGTCTCGCCAGGGAGCAAATTGTTTGGGACTGTTTTCTGGGAGCAGGGCGCCCATCCCAAACATTATTTTCGGCAAAAGTTTTGAAGGCTTTAATCAACTTGTGGCACTTAATGAGCGCCTGTAATGAGTTAATTGTTTCACATTGTTTTGCAGCTGCAGAACGGTTAAATGCTTCAGATAGTTGGGCATTTGGTTTACATTTAAACTTCTAAGGTATTAGTTGTATGAGATAATAATTTATAGAGCGGCTTTGACTTATAAATTTATCTAAACTTTATCTCTTTTTAAAATTTATTTTTATAAAAATTATCCTTGGTAATTTTTTTACAAGCCCAAATTGTTCACTTTTCTCCTACACACATGATACATTTATTACTTGGTTTATGACACCTTTTAACTTGGCTGGATTAATTAATTTTGGCATTGATTCGGTCCTTGGCTTTTGTGGTCTATATCTGTAAAAGGGTTTTACATCTGGGTCGTAAAGTGCGAGGCCCTTTGCCCGATAACTAGCATACAAATAGGAATAGGGGAAAAACCCGAAAGGACAACGCCGAACTCAAATGAAAATCTAATTTAGAGCAACACGCACTGAAAGTGTGAGGGAGAAGACAGAAGGGAGACGGGAGAAAAGGGGAGGGAGATAGCAGCACAAGTGATACATGGGTTCATGGCAGGCAGTAAAAGCTTCGGCCCGCCTTTCATTTGCGTTTAAAGACCTCAAAAAGGACTTCCGCCTGCACTGGCCTACAAATTAACATGCCCCAATCTGTGACTGTCTCTGTGCATGTGTGGGTGCGGGAGTGTGAGTGTGTGTAAGTGTGTGGGTGGCATGAATTATGAGTAAAGCAGCTGCAGACTTAATGGAAAATGCTCGAGCCGGGCCAAGAGTTTTTGGCCAAGAGCACGCAAAGCGTAAATTAGAAGAATGCTACAAAAAAAGCAACAAGGAAAGTTAATTTAGGACCACCGAAGATAATATACCCTGCAACTATTATTTTAATTCAAAGAAATTACTGAGCCTGCATCGATCCTATCTAGTAACTATACAGAAATTTTAAATAGAATAGAATAGAATAGAATAGATCCCTTAGATAGAGTCTCCCACAAAATACAGAATTTTAAATTTAAATACATTTTGACAGTGAACCAATTACAACTACACTGTGATTTATAGTTGTAATTGTCAGCTGAAATGATAGAACCCTTTGAAAGAGTATCCCAAAAAAAGCCGAAATTCCCACGACGCCCACGGAATCACGCATGTGTATGTGTACGAGTGTGATGTAATAAGTTGTTGTAATGCTCGCGTAGCTCATAAATTAGACACGATCTATTACGGACGGATTTATATGCATGAGGAGTCAGGAACAGAGACAACAGGCCAGAAACAAGCAGCATATAACTTGATAAACTTGGCTGGAAACGAGTGGGTGTCATTTTTAATTTTTGACACGTAGTCTTATCCAAAAAGCCCGAACATGTGTTCTTGACATTGCAAATAAAAATATAAAAAAGCGCAACACACGAGCGTAAAATATACAAGTATTTTAAAATTCCAATTCGGGGCGAGAGGGATCGTATAATGAGTTCTCTGGCGGAGGGTCATAAATACCATTTGGAGTGTATGCATCGCCCATAGGTGGGCCATAAAAATTTGTTTAACACGCACACGTACAATTCGCACACACACTCATAAGCTTATGCATACAGGAGCAAATCAAATTTATTTTATTCAACTTTTTTTTTCGCTTTCTGCGTTGCTGTCGTTTTTATGATTTACGCAATAAATCATTTCACCAGAGAATAAAGCAAAAAGGTACTTAGAAAGAGGCAGATAGAATAGCGTTAGAACGAGAGGAAAAACACTAGAAAATGTGTTAAACAAATAAAAGTGAGCTGCAAAGGCTGTAAAGTTAACCAAATAGTGCAACAATACGCCACAAAAAAGGATAAACATTGTAACAATTGAACTCGGTCTCAAAATTGAATTTATTATGTGAATGTCTGATATTGTTTGCATTTTATTTAATAACTCCAATTAAATTATTTTTAGTAAATTTTCGCAATTTAAATTCTTGTTAAATTGTGTATACTTAATCTAAAAATAAAGTAAAATTATTAAATGATTTAATTGGGAGGTAACAACTAACAAATAATGTATACACATGATTCAATAAGTATTGAGGTGTAAATATAATGTCAAACTTTGGTATTTTGTACAAAAAACTGTTATTTTTACAGACATATATTAAACAGGGAAAAAGTTAATTTTATTTTGCCTACGGCAATCCATTAATATTTTCAAGGACGATTCCCGGGTAGCCTCTAATCAATTTCAACAAATTCCAGCCACATTTCGCCTCATTACGGAATTTATTTCCACAGCCAGCTGCCTTTGGCTAAGCTGCCACATTTATTTAAACGAAAACTTTCGCAGTTTCAGCTTTGGATACCGCTTTCTAGCACCCCTCTGGTCCACTTTCTGCACATTTAGCAATCCCATTCGCAACTCATATTTTTAGACTTTGGTCCTAAGTGCGTTGACTGCACTTTTGGCGCTCGCATAAAACTTTTTCGGGCTCACTGACCCCCCGAAAACCCCCGGAATTCTCGCCACCCCACAAATAGTCATCTGGCTTTGTGAAGCCCGCCTTCCAAGCTCCGAACCCTCCTCGCTTCTATCTCGTGTAATTCAGCTTGCATCCGCTTCTAAAAAGTTACGCTGCACCCGAAAATTCAAGTGGTTGGACCAAAGGCTTTTAGCTGACTTAACACCAGCAAACGAGCATATACAAACATTCTCAGATCCACCAAGAAAAAATACGTTTACGTTTCTTGAAACATCCTCATAAATTTAATGATGGCTTAATAGGACTAAAAAATAATTCATAATTTAATATGGATTTTTGTTTATAACTCTAATTATGTGTTTTGTAAAAAACCGTTCTTTAAAAAAATCACTAAGTATGTATAAGTAAGTTTTTGTATTTATTAGTGCTTTAAAAAAAAAGCAAATGTATTAAATTGCTGGACTAATAAAGCCAAATACATTAATAAAACCCTTACAACTCATGGGCGGCGGATTTTTTTTCAGTGCCCACAAAAGTACATACTTCCCTAATATATGGCTGCACCCCTTCCTGTGCATTCACTTCCCCTTTTTAGTGGCCTCATAAAGCTTGAGCTTAAGCATGTCGCAAAGAAAGGGTTTCCTGCTTTTCCTAAAAATTTTCAAAAAGTCGCGCTTGGAAATTGTGCGTATATGTGTGAATTTTGCGGATGCAAAATAAAAAAGAATTTTACAATGGCGAGCGTGACTTAAAATAAAGAAATAACTTACAGCATAGTTCAAGTCAAACAATGCGCGACATTTTCTCGAAGAATTTAACATGGTAAACTCCCCCTAGATATATGTGGGCGGAGCAATGCAGTCTTGGCCAGAGTTTTGAATTTTTAACAGCTTAACCCGAAACTCGCATTCCCTTCACTTGCCCTCCACTTGTGACAGTCAGCCCCAAAAGTTTAGCACTTTCCTCTTTGTCCTCGGAATCTTTTGTGGCTGGGACTTAGAGAGGTCTGGTCTTTGTTATTATTTTTATTTAAAACCAAATGTATTTTTTGACTGCACTCTGACTTATTTACGTACCTCGAAATCGGTTTTTATCCTTTGTCTTGGCTTAAAGTGACTGCTTAATTAGTTGCATTTGACTTCAAGGGATTTCAGTTTTCTGTTCTGAAATTGAAAAAATAAGTATTTGTTTATTTATTTATATTTGTTTTTATGCTTTATTCCTAAGGCTATAAAATTTTTTTAATAAAATGATCTATTTTTTCGTAGAATTTTTACTTGGTTTACTTATTTAGTATTTTATTTATCCCCACATTTTCTTCTTTCTAATTCAAACGCATATATATCTCCATTTTTATTTTCAGTAATTTTATTACCTATCTTAGTATTTACCTACTGCTTCCAGCTATAAAACAACAACAAATTGGGTTAGATAGCCGTCCAACTCTGTGTGCAATTCAATTTAAATAATTTTGTTTGTGCTTTGGTCAGAGTTGCTTTTGGCTGTGGCGTTGCATATTTGCATGATATTAATTTGCATAATTATGTTGGTCATAAAGAAATGCGGGCCAACAATTATGAAAACCACAAGCACACACCCAGGCAAAGAAAAAAAAATCCGAATGCAGTTGCCAAACACACACTGTCATAACTAATATAGAGTTATTTATCCCCGGGGACCGATTTATATTACTTCCCCGTTAGCCATGAAGTCCTCGTTTTTTCTAGAGGAGGTTAGTGCTACAAGGTCTTCGTTGCTCCACATTTTCCGCCCTGCTCCGTAAATTTATCAGTGTCAAAAAATAATAGCGCGCCCGGTTTCGCTTTTAATAATTTCCCCTGCCGAGAAGAGCATTTGGAGCGGAAATTGCCGCTGCTCGAGTTTCGGGGCCGGGTCGTTTGGGGCCTTGAAAACAATGGTCAGATGCAGAACTGCACTCAGGACATACCTCCCTAAATTATTTCAATTCCAAATGCTCACGGAGAGCACTCGTTGGATGGGAAAACAACAGTCGGCCGAGTCCCAATCGCATTTGTATGTTAGTGTCTGCATTAAAATGTTCATTAAATTAATGTAATTTCACTTTAGAGTAAAATTTCTTGCTCGATTTGAATTGGATTTACTCGTTTGTTTTACATGCACTATTGACAGCTCTTGACATTTGATATTTAAATTAAATTATTCGCTTTTCTGTAGGCTCCGATTAATTTTATTTGTTAATGGCAAAGGCTAATGGCTTTTCCTTCAATTTAATTGCTCTTGATATTTGGAATAATAAAACCACATTAAAATGTTATTTGAAAATATTTAAAAATGGAAACAACATATAACGTTATAGTTCTTCGGATGGTTTAATAAAGTAAAATTAATTGTGCATATTATTATAGTCTTCCTTTTAAAATAGAGTTTATTCAATTACTAATTTATTATTTTATATAAGGCCAGTAGGTGGTGGAGGAAAATTTTTCTAAAAAACCTAATTAAATTTTATGTCAGGTGGTAAGGAAAGACATTTATTTTAGCTTATCCAATCGAAAGCTAAAATAGTTTTCCTGTGCCGACCATCTATTAAAATTTCATAATGTAGTTCAGCCTTTTGTTCAACTGTCCGCACATTAAGCAGCCGAAACTTTCGACATAAATTCAAGACCTTATTCCCATAAATATTACCCACTTACTTCGATGGGAGCTAGCATAAAATATGCAGCATCGAAAAGTTCTGTTTGTTTTCCCTTTGGCTTTTATCAGGCTGAGCTATTGACTAAATACTTTGGCAAATTCATAAATTTAAGCACAGCGTAATAACATAAATATTTTAAAAATGCCAAAAACCAAAAGAACAAAAAATGTGGCGAAGCAAAATTGAGTAGGAAAGTTTTCCTCGAAGGGAAGGGGCATATGTACCATCCCTGAAACTTTATTGGCTTGCTTTTTTGAACGTCATAAAATCGAGAGGAACAACAACTTGGGCAGCTTCTTTCTTATTCATGGGTATGGCTCATCAAAGCCTACTTAATGCCCAATATTGGCCTTGGCTTAAACAGTTTTGACCATTTCATGAGCTCAACTTTGTCGGCCAAAAGTTTTTTCTTCTCTCACTTTTTTGGGATATTTATAAGGTTGCCGGTGGGGAATCCACATCGATATTAAATAGCGGCGGGCAGCAGAAAATTTTGGCATTAATATTCAGTGTTGAACTCGACTTCAATGGCTAGGTGAAGCAATTAAAGAGGTGGGGTCCACCGGGAAAAAGTGAACTACTTATTAATTTTGCTTTAAAAAAAAAATTTTTAATTTATGAAAATTTCTAGTACTTTAAAAGGCCTTTTTCGTCCATGTGTAATGTAAAGTGAGATTTTTAACTTAAATTAAACATGCGGCCCTAATTTATTTTAAAACGTTATAATAATTTATTTTAATGCATTTTTTAAGAGAAACAATAATGTTCATAGCTTTTTCCTCAATTATTAAATTGTTTCTAAATTTCATTTCCATTGTAAAATAGACACTGTTGACCAAATTTCTTGCTGTGTAGCAGGCCTAAATGGTTGATATCCTGTCGGAGGTGTTGTTTGGCTTCATTATCACAAAACACACACCGTCCCGTGTAGCATTAGACTTTAATAAGCCAATAAGTTTGCTTTCAGGTATACCGAACCCTGCTCAAGACATCCTTATCCTTATCCACTAACCTTGGTGAGTGCATTAATATTTATGCTTACACTCGGAACTCTTGTTCTCTGGCCATGCGTGCGTTATAAATAAAATTAAATGTATCAGTTAAGTTGAATTTTTGGCTCTGTTCCCGAAAAGGAGTTCGGTGTCGATAATCCTGCTTGGTTTTTGGGATAATAAGATTGTCGGGGGGAAGGGCAGATTGGATGGTTTGCCTGGAGAAGTCCTACTTCGGTTAATGATGCAGTCGTTAGCGAGCAGACTCTACGTTAAGGGTTCGAGCTCCTCGAACGGAAATCTCCGTGGATGAGAAGTAATGTCTTATGACCGTAGCTGTAATTAGGTTTTGGGCATAACTAAGTGGAATGCTACATGCCATCGGTGATTCAGGGGATTTATTATACAGTGGTCTTCTTAAAGCTGTAACCAGAAAATCTCTTAATTTGAAACTTTCAACAAAAATAAATAGATTATTATTGTTTCGGCTTTCATAAATATATTTTCCAGTTTATTAATAAAAATATTTGAATAATATATATAACACATAGAAAATAAGTAATTTTAAACCGTTGCCATAAAGTTTCTGTATTCGTTCGCTTTCCTATTTAAATTTGCACAGCTTTTGCAAAGATTCTCCCTTTTTCTATAAGCTAAATTACTATTTATGAAGTTCAACATAGTTAACTAACTAGTTTTAGTTGCCAGTTTGCCGCTACTGCTTATTTTTCACTTTATTTATAAGCCCGTTTTCCCACCCTCGATTATCGCCCTTCTAAGTATGCAACACTTTTGCCCCGCTTTCTTCTCCGCGTTTCCTTTAGTTTTTCCTGTGTTTTCGTGCAGGCACCTTATCTATTCGAGGGTGTGTGCTTGTGGTATCAAATAACATCTTTATCAAACATTTTTGTGTAACATGCACGCGACTGAAATAAAAATAATGATCAAGGCAAGTATGGAAAAGTGAAGGGCGAAGTGGGGGAAAAGGAATGGCATATTCGTAGCTTTCCCACTACCAGCGAGAAATAAGAACAACACTAATAACAACAACCTCAACAGTTCAAAGAATTAACTCACATGCCTGGCATAATAAACATAACAGCTTCAGCCTTGGCTTTTGTTTTTGATGCCGCCAATACCTAGTAATTGGGAAGTTAAAGAGTAAAATGGAATTGTCAAAGCTTTTGCAACTCATACAAATATAATTTTAAGGAAATATTAACTAATTAAAGATCCTTCAAATTACGAACAGTTATTGTTCCTAATAAAATCTAAACTACTTTAGGCATGGAATATTTAATAAGATATTTGTATTATGAGGTAGTTAACAGTCCTTAGCCTTTTTTGCATTTTTACCCCTGCCTCAGATTTATGTTTGCTTTACTGCCGCTGCCTCTGTTGTTGATTGTTGTTGGTTCTCCTTGGGTGCCTTCCTGCTTTCATTTGGATGGTTAACATGGTCTCCTTTCCCGTTATCCCACCCTCCTCGTCCTTCTACCAAACAGACAGCCTTGGGAGACGTGGAAAGCATGTAGGGAAATGGCAGAAACTTGTAGCTTTTCGGCCTTGCTCAAGAAGCTATCGAAGGCAATGCACTATGGGGCATTTGACCACTTTTCTTGGCCGAAATTAATAACTCGGTCAATTCAAAAGATATTGACTTAAAACTTTACCAGTCGAAATTTTTTGTCCCTACGCATATTATATATGAGAATCATCCGGATCGGACAACTATATCATATAGCTGCCAAAGAAACGATCAAATTTACTTTGCTGTTTTTAGAGATAAATGCACATAACTTTAAAAATAGCAATTATGTCAGTTTTTAAAACAATATTAAAAGTTTCGTACAAATCGGAAGACTATATCCTAAAGTTCTCAAAAAGAAGGGCAAAGGAAAGTATTTAATCTACATTTGTACGACTTTTTTGTTCAAAATTTTTTTTAAAGCCGCTAAAGTCCACTTAAGTTAGTCAATTACAAAGCTAAGTATTTCTACTCTATTTTGATAATAATTTAAAGCCAGAAAATTACTTACTTCCTTAGCCACCAGTGCAAACGATAGGAGTGTGTGAAATTTGAGGTTAAGGTCTTAAAAATTAAATTACAGAAAAAGTGGCAATAAGTGGCGATTCTGACCATATACATTTTAACAGCAATTAAATAATCTACAAATCCCAATAGGTTCCAGAAGTGGACTCCGCTGGACTCACTTTGTTGCTCCATTTGAAATTTAGTTTTCTTCCGAAAATGTACTTGCTAGACCGCTTCCTTTAACACTCATTTATAAGAAAAAGCCGTCTGATTTTTGTCGTCTAACCACACAACTACTTAGTACATAGCATAATCCTTTAAATCCAATCCAAAAAGTTTACTTGGATTGCTTAAAAACTCAAATTTACAGCATTTTAAGCAAAAAGTCGAAATACAACAGCCCAATAATTGAATTTCGAACAGCTGATTTAACAGCTTCTAACTTCACAGAGGCGA